GGGGAGGGAGGGAGGGAAGCACCGGAATATGATTACCTCGGATTGGTGCAAAAATCGGAACACATTCAACTCGCCCTCCCTTCGCTACCTGTGCTTAGTTGAAAAAAACACAGAATAATAAAAAAAAGTAAAAACATTGCTGAACTCGGTGATCCTCCATGCATCCACATAAAACTGCAATCAGAGGACGAACGAGAAGGAGCTGAGTAGAAAAACATATTAAAGTGACTCAGGGACCAGCATTAGGGATGGAATGTTCCACAATGGGGGCATCGTCAAAACGCTCACGATTCATGACTACTTGAACGACTGGCTTCATAATAATGGGATTAATCACCCAACCTAAGCTCCCTCGCTATGAGATCTGGAAATTATTGCCTCCGAGCAAGTTAGATCGATTCCAGTTGTTCTAAGCAGTTTGAATTTCTTTCTTTATCCTGAAGACAACAAGATGTAGTAAAACTAATTATGATCGCAAGAAAAGCACTGATTATGAAGTGTTTATGTTACAAGACGAGCAGAAGGTTAAAATGGCCTCGTCCAAGAATCAGCTTAGCAAAACTGATTTCTGAAGACTAGACAACAGGTAGCAACACTTCCGGATTCAAAAGAAGGCCTGCTTCAAACTCGATCGAATTCATTCGAGACGACCTCCTGAGGGACCAGGACACTAGGGTCTAATACGCGCAGAAGTTAGAAAAAAACCACATCAAACTCCGATTTTGCGACGAAAATGGACGAGTTCTTGTGCCTTTTTTCTGAAGGAGCCCTCATCTTTTCAGAAAACAGGTGCACATAATATCAAAAGGAAAATTCAAACCACGAATTAACCCCAATGTTTGATGACACAATGTTGATCCTGGGAAAATCACCTTGAAAGGGCCTTGCTTCGAATCCATTATTGTCACAATAACCTAAATATTAAAACAATTAATGAAATCGGAAGTGTCACCTGGTTCCTAACATCAACGGCAAGAAACAACAAAGTCAAACGTCAAAAAAAAAACATTGATTTTCAGGTAATGGAGAGAGGGAACGTTGTAGTCACAAGGGTGTCTGAAAAAGGTTCGAGAGAAAGGAACTAGGGAATAAAGGAACGAGTTTTAGAAGAAAGATTCAGTCGATTAACTGCCAAAACGGTTCCACGGCTGTCAGCCGCAGGAAATGCCACCCAAAAGCACTTTGTGGTCTGAGGGCCCTTGTCAATCGACAGTCGGCTGACTCATCCGTTTTCCCTTGCTGTCTGCGCCCTCCTAAGTGCCCACACTGCCTCTATCACTTGCTAGTTGTATAGGCGAGACTACTTTTCCGTATGGACTCTAGCTGCGAGAGAAGCCATAGTTGACAATTGCCCCGTAACCATACTCTGAGTCATTCAGTGCAATTGCGTAATATGAGCGATGACCGTAGTCTCACGTCTAACAATTAGTTGATTCAACAATTAGTTGGTCGATTGGAGTAAGGGTGTGGGCAGAAAACAACATTGGATGAAACCGAGTGACGAACCTTTGGCTTGTCCGGGACTGCCCGCAGCAAATCAAAGTCTCGTGCTATGGCATGGTCGATGCTGGGTTCATCACAAGGGCGGAGTTCGGCCACAAACCACGTATCGATTAACTCGAAAGCTTCTAGTAAAGTAAAAGGGAAGAAAGTATGAAGGCGTCGTGGATGTCCTCTAGAAAACAAAGCGATCATTTTAAGGCACGGTTTTTTGCGGTATACACTGCTCAGCTCCCAAGTTAGGCCATGGTAGGCCGCTCGTCGTTATCATCTGTACCACCTTCAGTCTCGCTGATTATCGATTCGCTCGAGTCTGCGCAGTAAGGCCTTCAACCGTCCCTGCCGCGAGTCAGTGAAATCTAGCGCAATCCATCATCTCCGTGAGGCATTAGGCAAACTATTCCTCTCGTTCAAAGCCTTCGGGAAGAATTCTGACCGTCAGGTTGAAGATCATCCTCCTGTTCGTTCGAGGTCCCGTGAGATCTAGTCAGCAAGCTGCCTGAACTTCAAAAATAGGCCTTTTACCGGGTCTGGCATCTTCTCCCCGAACGACGTGTCGCCGGCCGGGGACTATTCGGCCGACGGTATCGACCAAGATTTAGTTGTAAACAAGGGGCAAGCGCCGCCCACTGCGCGCTCGCGGGCCGGCCGGCGGACTATGAAAGCAGCCAATTGAAGGATACGGAGAGTCGCCGCGAACCACAGGCCGCAGGCCGTGGGGATTCGGGGAGAAGTTCCGTTACCACCACTTCTGTCTCAACAATGTCAAGGGCCATCTTCATATAAATGAATATAAGGCCATCGATCAATCAGAGCGGCAGACTTTGCTGTAGTAAGATGTAACGAATACAGAAACCTTTGCATCCAACGGCGTCTTATTATCCTCCATCACTTATTATCACTTCACATCACCAACTATTTACCTTTTTACTTCATATGACCAATCGAGGGGCCAAGGTTTCACTGCTTATATAAAGGGTGTAAGAGACCGTAAGAGACCGAGCCTCCTTATCAGCCCTTATCATTTGTTATCAGTTCTTGTCACCAGTTACCAACAGATTCCATAACACCGGAAATGTGCTGTGGCTTCACTTTCGATAAAAAAAAAACTGTGATGGATCCTCTTTCCTTCGAGCGCTCTTCACTAGCCTGTATCTTTTTTTTTACAAGTCCTTGTCGTCAATCATATACGATCCCTTCTCTCCGCTCATCACCTACCCGAGTGTAAGGATTCCACTGTTTACAAGGAAGGCGAAACGGGTCTTGTGGCTATTGCATTTCAGTACTCATTATTGGCTCGTTTTACTTATTACCAGTTACTACTATCCTACCACAAGTGTTTCCATTCTGCCTTTGTTGCGTGTTGCCGTCTGTATCCCTTGCAATTTTATCAACACATACACACAAACACACACCCAGGCATACACACCGGGACACTCACCGACACACACACACACGACGATACCGTCACATTCTTACACACCGACACACACTGACACACACANACACACACACACACACACGACGATAGCGTCACATTCTTACACACCGACACATACACATTGACACACACAATGCCACACGCACACACACTGACATACCGACACACACACCGACACACACACTGACACACACACATATACACACATACACGCATATACACACAACGACACCGGCACACATCAACACACATACGCTCATCGACACATCGACACGAACTTATCGACACACACCCACATACTAAGATGACGACGAAAAACGAGCAAAAGAGGTACAGATCAACTACTACCTTTAGTAGCGTCCCTTCTCGGGAATACCGTTGTTTTGTTGTTTTGCTGTGCGACATTAATTTTTTTCAGAATTTTTTCTATCAAAGACTATTTATAACATCTAATGACTGTGTTTCCCCCATTCAGTAGCATGCAGTCAACTTCACGGCGTCAGCGAATCAAGTGAGCTCGATCCTCTGAAGTCCTCGAAACAGACTGATGGAAAAGTTGGCCTGAAGCATTTATTTCGTCTCCGATGGCCAGGAGACAGAGAGGAGGTGTAAGGTATAAGGTGAATGGCTAAGCTTTGAGGATCTATCGAAAAAAAAACAGAAATATTTAGAAATCGTACTTCTAAGTCCATAGACCAGAACCCTTGAATGTCTAACTGAACCGATTTCCTTGGTAAGCTGAAAGGAAGAACTTGAGTACCGGTCACTGCCTGAAAGGTACGGCACGGATCCAATACGCACTCAATAAGCAAATTCCAGCGGTCTCTTCGTAGAACCCTGGCAGTTGTATACCACTGATAGTTGTATTTAGCGGAAGTGGTGTATTGACAAGTGGCGCACTTCACACACGCATGGCGCGGGTTCGACTCCATCGATATCCTCCTAGGGCAACTGAGCCTATCATCTCTCTGGGGTCGGTTAAATGGTACCAGACTCGTCTAGGAGGATAAAAGCACTGACTTGTACATCGGCTGGCCACCGCAAGTGATTGTATGGGCCACATACGCACTCATT